TGATCCCTCCGGAATTACACATCCCACAGGACATGCAGGGTTTCCACTCCTGACTATTTAAGACAGGAGGGGTTTGTGCATTTGGGTTTTAGAGCTGAAACTCTAGACCTTGTTTTACTTGCAGCTCCCAGAGCCCCTTCCCACCCCAGGGGAAACCACCGTGGAATTTTGCAGAGATACTTCCACGGAGATAATTGTTCAGCTTAAGGACTGCAAGGCCTTGGGATTTCCTTCCCTCAACCACATGAAAGTCAACGGTATTTTAAAAAAAATAACAAATATATCACCGAAGCTTTGGATTCCAGGAGCTCCAAGGGATTTGCAAACCTGTTACAAGCATTAATGAATTAATCCCCACTAATCCAATAAGATAACGAGCCCTCCCTACTTTCCAGGTGTTTATACCATCAGATCAATCACCAGATCAGCAGCCCAAGATAGAATTGCTTTAAAAATCTGCCCATTAAGTTTCATAACAGTATTTTAGATAAGTCTGTTGGGCACTTCAACGGCCTGTAAAGGAGATAAAGATTAATTTGAGCTCTCTACAATCCCAAACACCTCGAGGTATCACTACTCCCCTTTTAATTAACATATAAAACATGGGCATGGCACATTAATTGCCAGGCCTGCAGCAGATCCACTGCCATCCACATCACAGCACACACAAAATAAGGGAGGAATAAATATTTTACAATTACTTTTCAGCCAGGAAATGAGGAAACCAACTTAAAACCACTGCCCAAAAAAATGACAAAATAAGATTGTCACGTCTGTGTCGTCACAGGGATGACTAAAGCCCATCACTTCCAAAAAGTACAATATTCCTATTTCATAGCTGGATAAATGTGGGCAGGGGTGTTGTCATGGGAGGATTAGTCCCATTCAATAGAGGTGATGCTTTCCCAAACAATTTAGAGTGGAAAATCACAAGCTCCTCCAGGAACAGAACCACACAGATGGACTCCTTCCCCTGTGCCTGGTGTCAACACACTCTAGGGAGCCTGGCATTTGTAAAATTTAAGGAAACAAAGGGGAAAAAATAGTTATGAGGGAAGAAACTCCTCTTCACACCCCAAGGTATTTCTGTCTTTTTATATCCAAGTGTTGCTTTTGCCTTTTCAAGTGAAAAAGTGCCTCGTTTCTGTCAATACTTCTACAATCAAGGCAATGGCAGCACATATAAATCATACCTACACTCACACATTTAATCAAATTACAATGCATTAAAGATGTTTCTGCCTGCAACAACTGCATTCCCCAAACCACTGCTGGAAAACCAAAGTGCTTCAAGATTTACAGGGCACACAAAAACCAGCAGATCCTCCAGCAACTCAAACCATATTTCCTCATTTTCCTCTGAAGTCCTTCAAAAAAAAAAAAAACAACAAACCCTTTCAGCTAAACCAGACCCTCACAGAAATAGGAGCACATAAAAGTTTGAAGATGCAGGGAGGAAAAAAATCTTCTAATAAAGATGAAGTTTGATGCAGGGAGAAAAAGCTTTTAATAAAGAAGCAGCTTGATGGGAAGTTTCTCCACTTCAGGGCCTGAGTCACAGGCAACAACTGAAGGGCAACTGAGCATTTTTTATGGACCTCTCACTTGGATATATAAAATTGGGGAGTGCTTCCCTTGGGTTTGGACCCAAAGGAAGCAAATGCTAAGCAGAAACTGCCCATGGCCCCTCAGCTATTTATTTCTAATACCCAGCTCAGGTTAAACAGCTCACAGTTAAAAGCATCTTTTATGTGAGTAAAAAATCAGTTAACATAAAATGTTTCTAACTCCAACACAATCAGATATTTACTTGACCTTAATGATAGCTTATTTCTCATTTTGGCTAACAGTTACTGAAATAAATCCATCTCAGAGTGGCTGTACAAGCATTATTCTTTCTTACTGTTGTTCAATTAATTCAAATAATTTCTCAAAATTAAAGGCCATGACTTCTTTTGTGGATGAAAAGTTCAGTTTTTCTTTTAACTGGAGTTTAAAAAAAAAATTGTCAAATAGGCTTAAACTTTAAATTAAATTAGTTGCATTTCTCCCTGCATCAGACAATAAAAGGAACCAAGAAAGGGACACTGAAATTCCTCCTAATTCCACAAGTTCTGGGTGGCCACACAAGGAGTTAACACCTCTGGGGCTGATGGATTATCTCCACATTCCCTGAGGTCTGACCATAAGGGCACTGGCTCTCACCTCTCATCCAGAATGAGACCCCTGAACTGATGCATATGAAAAACAAAAAAATGAAAATGTATTTATCTGGGTTGCAGCAAACATGAAAGGAAGGGCAAAAAAAAAAAATCATTAAAGAAAGATCTGACAAGTTCATGTGGATGCTCTGCATTTAGCTCTTGTTTTAGAGCAACAGTCTGTTATGTTGGCTCCTCTACAGTTTAATGATTTCCTGTTAAGAATTTAAAATTAGAAGCCTCCAACAACTTCCCCATAAACTATTTTCAAGGTTCCTTTAATATCCACATCAAGGAGATATAGTAGGTTCATATGTTATCCATGTCAGTTCGCTTCCTTCCCACTTCAAAATAAGCACATTGCAGGGAAATTCAGCAGGTTTTTATTGTTCTCTTAGAACCTTTTTTTCCTCACTAACCATGCCCAGCTACAGTAATTAAAAAAATAAAGCTGTTCACAGACACAAGCTCATATTTAAACCGTGACAAAGCAAGAACTGCTGGTCTAATGTGAAAAGCCTAAACTGTGCCAGGATTATGATCCCAAATCCTGATTTTCCATTGATGAGTTAGCTCGAATTTTCAACTGCATCCACACTGAACTTCATCCTTGTTACCACATTCATTTGACAAACACAATTTTGCTCTTTGACAGCTATCTTACCTTTGAGGAAAACATGCAAACAACACTCTGGCAGCACATGAAACAGATTCCATGTTTTTCATCCAGGCTTCCTGGAACTATAGTCCTAAAAGAAAAAAAAAGAAAAAGACAGTATTTATTTATTTAGCAATAATTGCAGTAGTTATACTACTACACCATATTTATAAAATTATTTGAGAAGGGGAAAAAAAAAGGCAGAGCATCTGCAGGGCTCCCCTCTTAGTTCCTCACTGGGACAGTGAAAGGGCTCACACAAACACTGATCACCACTTCCCTGACAAGAATCCCTAAATCCCCATCCATACCTATCCCCTGAAAATGTTCATTATGTGAACACTTCCTAATTGCTTTCAGTTAAAGGCAAGTCAGGGGAACCTGCAGGTCACTTCCCCTGACCTGAGGACGCAGCAGTGAGAAAAAAAGCAGCAGGAGAAGAGGCAATTCTGCTGCTTCCTGCATGACCTGTAACCAAGGTACAGCTCCTAATTTGGCTGAAATATAAATCTGCAAGCACAACTAAAAAAAAAAACAACCAAAGGAACAAAAAGAAAACAAACCTCTTTTCAGTTTGCAGCTCAGCCACAGAGTCAATAAATTGTGAGACAAAGACAGTGCTGTTACTTTCTGCAGTGATTTTCAGACCCAATTGGCTTGTTAGTCATCAAACTAAGGTTTCACAAATGGATTTGGGAAAGAATCCCAGAATGGTTTGGGTTGGGAGTGACCTTAAAGCTCATCCAGTTCCACCTCCTGCCATGGGCAGGGACACCTTCCACTAGCCCAGGTTGCTCCAAGCCCCATCCAACCTGGCCTTGGACACTTCCAGGGATCCAGGGGCAGCCACAGCTTCTCTGGGCAACCTGTGCCAGGGCCTCCCCACCCTCACAGGGAGGAATTTCTTCCCAATATCCCACCTAACCCTGCCCTCTGGCAGTGGGAAGCCATTCCCCCTTGTCCTGTCACTCCAGGCCCTTGTGAAAAGTCTCTCTCCATCTTTCCTGCAGCTCCCTCAGGCACTGGAAGGCCACAGTCAGGTCACCCCAAAGCCTTTTCTTCTCCAGGCTGAACAATCCCAACTCTCAGCCTTTCATGGGAACAACCTCCTCCAGCACTGGTGAGCTTCAGCAGCTCACTGCTGTCCAGAAACAGTAACTCAGTACTCAGAGCTGGTTGGGATTTTAGGGGTTTTTAAGGATTTTGAGGCCTGGGGGGAACAGAACAGCATCAGGCTCCAACCACACTCTGCTGAAACAGCACAACCATCTTTGCAGATGGAAAATCTCTTCCATACGAGCTCCTTCCACACAGAGAACTCCAACAACCAAGGGGTTGTTTGATCTCTAGGAGTATTTTTTTTTTTACAATTTGAAGACTGATTAGGTTTTCTTTATGCACTTACCCATCACAAAGCTTGTCTGCCTCTCCTTCCCCTCCAATGACACCCAGATGTCCCTCCAGACGCTGGACACGTGAGGGGTTCAGAGGCCCAGCTGCAGCTTCAAAAGCTCAGATTCCAGCAGACAGACAGACAGACAGACAGGCAGGCTGAGGGCTTTTCCCTCAACAACAGCCCTCACCACACTCTGCTCTTTTTTTATTGTTTTGTTTGTAAACGTCCTTCAAATGTTTCCCTGCATAAAGAAGACAAAAGAAAAGAGAGGAGACACCACCAAAGATAAGGATATCCATCAGAACCTCTGCCAGCAAGCACTGGAGTCAGAGGGATTTTCCAACATCTGCAATTATTAATGAGCAATTGCATTAAAGGAATTTACTGATGTGCAAATGCACGTCACTGCACGGAGCCACTTTGCTAAGAAGTTCCCAATACAGATTAAGGAGGAAAAAAAAAAATCATTAAACAAACAGGATAACTCTTAAGTTTAAAGACTTTCAGAGGACTAATAAATTATTTAATAAAATAGATTTTTGTGGGTCAGTTTTGCTGCTAAATATGTTACTTTGATGGTTACCTACTATCTCAACATTAAACACATACAGTGAACTGAGAACTTCATCAGCTCTCTAATAACACCTTTAAAGCAAAATAAATATTTAATATAGAAGAGCACCAAGCTGCTCAACACACAAATATATTAAATCACACAGTATTAATAAATAACAAATGCTTCTATGTTTAAATTCTATTTCTACCTAGAGATTAAATCACTTTTGCCATGAAGATTATTCTTCAGGCTCCACCAAAATGAATTGTGGCCCGAATACATAACGTGCTCCAGAGAAAGTTAATATAACATCCCTCTTTCATAGATACATTTATTTCTTCTCCTGGAACAGGCACATTATAGTTTTGTCTACAAAAAAATTACCAGGCAGTAAAAGGTGTAGCCTGGCTTATTTTTCAAAACACAGTAATTTATCAAGAAGATAAAGTCCATTGCCACGCTGCTTGAAAAGTATATTTACCTTAGCTATTACTTTTAGAAAAATTATTAGACCCTTTATTTTAAAGCAAAAAAAAAAGGGCATTATGAGTTCAAGAATTACCATTTTTAATATATTAACAGTATTTTTTCCTTCATGCACTGAAAAACTTGTGCCCTCCTAACAGGCCCCCAACCTTCCCAAACTAGCCCTCCAAAAGTAAGTGGGATAAATAGCCTCTCCTTGGGGGTGGGGGCTAATTGCCAACAGAAACCAGCTGTATTCCCTCAACTGAAATAAATTCATTTAATGTCAGAAAATGAGAGAAAAACAGATAGCCACCAGTAGGAAAAGCAGAAGGAAAAAGAGGACAAAGCAATGTTCCATGGTCTGTTTATGTGGCATTCCTTTCTTCCCACCCCATAACATTTCTTTCTGCAAGTAGAGGACAGAGAATAATGTCCTCTCACAAAATGGGAGGAATAGCAACAATTTAGGATTATTAAAAATAACGTGCCCAAAGTGCAGAAGCTCTGCCTCCTATAATTCTTAAAATAAAAAAAAAACCCCAAACAATGAGTCCCAGTAGCAGTCCTACATTAGCCAAGAAAACCAAATTAAGACTAGATAGAAGAAATATTTCCCAGTATAGTCAGTGCACCAAGCATTTGGGTTTTTTGTATTCATGAGTTTGAAAAATGCCAAACATTTAACTCTGAATAAGAGTTCTGTTCAAGACCACATTAGAGCAGTCACACTTGAGTGATAGCAGCTTGGTGAGACTAAATCTACACCAAGAGCCCTTACCTGTGTTGCACTGGGGTAATTAAATCACTGGCTACACAGGGTGAGTCTCCTTTAGACTAAATGACCTAAAAATCTCCCACCTGTGTCTGGGAACCACCCAACATGTTCCTAGGGGCGTGTGTGAGCCCTGCAGGGAACACAAATTGGGAAGAAAAACATGCCTTAAAGAGCTTGCTGAAGATAATGAGACATTGATAAAATATAGAGGCACTCCCACGTGGGGTCACAGGGCTCATTTAGGGAGGAAAAGGGTGTTTTTACCACATGACAGCCAAGAAGGAACACCACAGAGCTCAGAAGAATGTCAGGTTCAACAGCAAACCTCCTCAGACTCCGGGTGCCCAGGTATCGCTCACAGGAGCTGCCAATACACCTGGAAGTCACAAAAAGCCGAATATCAGCTGCGTGTTAGCACAGGTAAGCTGTAAATAATATTTACACCCTTAAAGAGGTTTAGGCTGGGCGGGCCCTGGAGCTCAGCATGAGGGGGGATGTTCATTAGGGTCGGAAGGGATCTCGATATCACCCACTCCTGCCAAGGCAGGGGCACCTGGAGCAGGAGCCTTGACTGCATCCAAGCAGTTTGGAATGTCTCTGGAGAGGGAGATTCCACACCCTCTCTGGGCACCTGTTCCAGTGTTTGGCCACCTCCCTCCATGTAAAGAACTTCTCCTGTTCAGGTGGAACTTCTCGGGTGGCCTTTGCTCCTCCTCCTGTCGCTGGGCACCGCTGGAAGAGAGTCTGGCACCATCCTCCGGCGCCCACCTTGGAGATATTTAATGTGCGCTAACGAGACCTGCTCAGCCTTCTCTTCTCCAGAATAACCAGGCCCAGCTCCCGCGGTCTCTCCTCATCGGGGAGTCGCTCCAGACCCTCCATTCTCGGCCGTGCTCCCTCACGTTGCCCCGCGGCCCCTCGCTGCGCCCTCAGCCCCGCGGCGGTTCCCTCGTGCCTCCCTCACCAATCCCCCGTTACCGCTCCGGCCGCAGCCGCCCGCCCGCGCCCGGGGAGGGCTGAGGGACCCCGGGAGCGCCCCGGGACACCCCGGGGCGTGAGGGGGAACGGGCTGGGGGACGAGAGCCCCGGGGCGTGAGGAGGGCAGGGCTGCGGGAGCCCAGGGGCGTGAGGAGAACCAGGCGGGCGGCGGGACGAGAGCTCCGGGAGCCC